TATGGACTAAACTCCACTTAAAAAAGAGGCACAGGAACTACTAATCGATAAGCCAGAAATGTTACTATGCAATGAAACTCCACTTCATAAAGAGGCACAGTAACTACAAGCCAGATGTTGACTATGGAATGAAATTCCACTTCAAGTAACTACTAGTAAATAAGTAGAATAATGGCTGGCGTGCTCCTCTGACAGTGAATGGAATGTGATTACCATCTTTGTCCAGTTTCTTTTAAATCTCGCAACCAATCAAGAGACAAACCCCTCAGTAAAAAAGGAATCTAGTTTCTTCCTCTACCGCATGAATGGAGTGTCACTTCCTGGAAGTAGAGACTTTGAAACTTTGTGTGTGAGATACCGGTTCGGAGTCAGCCCAAGCCCTGAAATTTAAATCAATAGGCATAAATTATCTATCATGCATTCTACTAAAAATAAATTGAAACTCAAACCTCATACTAACATGGGTTGGACTTCATCAACTGATCGAAAGTATACTTGGTTAGCCAAAAATATTCTCTTTATTAGTCAGCGGTCCATACTTACGCCACGCGTAAAGCATATTTCTCTGGTCTGAAATATGCTTTATGCGTGGCGTAAGCATGGACCGCTAACTAATCTAAGCCGAGGAGCATACTTCTGGCTGACCAAGTATACACTTTCGATCAGTTGATGAAAGTCGACCCATGATAGTATGAGTTTTGAGTTTCAATTTATTTTTGGCAGAATGCAAGATAGACAATTTATGTGCATTGATTTAAATTTCAGGGCTGACTCTGAACCGAGGCATCTTACACACAAATTTTCAAAGCCTCTACTTCCAGGAATTTACACTTCATTCATGCGACAGAGGAAGAAACCAAATGTCTTTTTTTACTGAGGGGTTTGTCGTCTTGATTGATTGCGAGATTTAAAAAAAAGTGGACAAAGATAGTAATCACATTCCATTCATTGTCAGAGTCAGAGGGGCACGCCAACCATTATTCTACTTATTTACTAATAGTTACTTGAAGTAAAATTTCATTCCATAGTCAACATTCCATAGTCAACATCACTGTGCACTCTATATTCTATTGATTGCTTATACTTCACGGTTGATTTTTTTGTTATTTAATATTTGACCAATGATTATTTTCAAGTAAAATGGATTGGATTCCTTGTAAAGGTAGCTAAAGAAATGATAAGATAATGAATGAGACTTTTGGTTTGCCATCAAATTTAAATTGATCCCCAAACAAGGATGTTCAAAAAATCTCGAAGCAAATACAATAAATGTACATTCATTTTTACCTAATTAAAATTATACAATAATTTTTGTGAGCACTATAGGGTAACATATATATCACATTCTTACTTGGTTACAATTAAAAATATGTGCATATAAACAACACATTTATTTTAAACAAAAATCTATATAAAGATTATATGTTTGGAATGCAAGTAGACAAAAAAAAGGATGCTTGGACAAAAAAAAAATCTCAAAAAAAATCTAAACATTTTTAACTCAAACCATTTTTTTAACTCAACTATAACTCAACCTCACTATCATTAATATTATCAATATAATTAAATAATATCAATCAATCATTCTTACACACCACATCAACTTTAATTTATTATTCATCAACTCATATAATTTTAACTATCACTTTACATCATTTCTCAGCTACTGTTCCATTAAATCCAACTTAATTATATTATTCTAAATATTATTTTAATATGCCCAATGACAACTACCTATACTACCTTTATCAAAATTAACCAAACCAAAATATTTAAACAAACAAAAAGTTCTTATATCCAAGCACACTCTTGTTTGGAATGCAAGTAGACAGAAAAAAGNTTCTGAAAATTAGCAAAAGCATCGTATGAAATAAACAACCACTTCAAAAAAAGCACATAATCACTAGCGAGAAGCCAAAATGTTGGCTCGTGATTTTCTGTAAAGTAGACGATCAATGGTATGAGGTCATCTTCTTGATCTAGGCTCTATTCAACTCGGCCGTCTATGATGACAATGGTGCCCTCGACAAAATAGATTTTCAATTTGTCCACATGTATACGGAAATCTTCTGAGAGTAGAAGCTTGTAAAGTTTCTGGCGGGGAATTGGTTGATTTGTAAGTTGACCAAAGTCAAACCCTGTAATATGTCACTATTATGTTGTCTGACAATTATTTATACTAAAATAGAAATTGACAGGAAAGTACTTACAGGGGTCGGTGTTCGCTACCCAGTCGAAGGTGCTTTCCGTTATCATAAAATATGATATGTGGTCGAGCTGTTGTCGCCCCATACTTGCGATAGGCGTACAACATGTTTCGGAGTGCCACTCTGAACACTCTTGTATCACATGCACCGTTAGAATTGATGTTAAGAATAATCTTAGCAATATTTTAGACAAAAGAAAATAAACTGGTGAATTTCACTTATTTCTCACTCAATAATTGGTTTAGCCCAATCGAAGAAGTTGTTAGGTCGGATTTTCCAACAACCTCCCCGATTGGACTAAACCAATCATCAAGAAATAAATGAATTTCATCAGCTTCTTTTGTTTTGTCTGAAATGAGTGTCGAACACATAAAATATATTGCTAAAATTTTTCCTAACATCAACTCTAAGTATGACAGTTCAGAGCGGCATTACGAAACATGTTGTACGTCTATCGCAAGCATGGGCCAATGACACAGCTTGACCACGTATCATATTTTATGATAGCTAAAAGCACCTGGGTTGCGAGCACCGACCTCTGCAAGTACTTCCAATGAATGAATGTCAATTCTATTTTAGTATAATGCATTGTCAAACTACTTAATAATGACATATTACGGGGTTTGGCATTGGCCAACTTACAAAGCACCGCCAAAACTTTACAAGCTTCTACTTCTAGAAGATTTCCGTATACATTTGCGAATATGGGGAAAATCAAAGATCTTATTTTGTCGAGAGCACCATTGACATCACAGACGACCGAGTTGAAGAGAACTTGGATGAAAAAGGTGACCCCATAACATTCAATATCTACTTTACAACGTCTACTTTACAGGAAATCACGAGCCAACATTTTGGCTTCTCGCCTAGTGATTATCGAGCCAACATTTTGGCTTCTTGCCTAGTCATTATCGGTGAAAGTGCTTTTTTGAAGTGGTTGTTTATTCCACAATACTCTACTAATATTCAGAAAACATATTTGAAATGCCCTTATTTTTCTTTGTCTACTTGCATTCCAAATGTTGAATCAAGATGACCTATTTGAAGAAGCTCTTTACCGTATATTTTACAATTTACAATTTTTTATTATTTCAAATTGATTTTTACATTTTTTATTTATTTTACCATTATTATTTCTTGTCCATTGCAAATGGAGCTGGAAGAGTCATTGATGACAATTCTTCTGGCATAGTGCTAATAATTAACTAGATCAAAATGACTCAATTAAATTCTAGTGTTTCTTCTATTAGTGAAGTTTCTAGGAAAAAAAAAAATATATCAAACAGCGCAATGCACCTTGAGTCGCTACGGAAACAACCTCCTTGTATAATTACAAGGGTAAGGTCTGCGTACAACTGACTCCCAAGCCCCAACCTATTGGGAGTATACTGGGTATGTTGTTGTTGTTGTTGTTGTTGTTTACCATTATTATTTCTGTTTTATTATAATATTAGTTGGGCTAGACTGTTTTGGGTTGAAGTGGTTGGTTATTTGGTGGGCTATGATGATTACAATTAACTCAAAGATGGGCCCAAAATTTGTAAGGTTTGATGGCCAGTGCCGAACCAGGTCCAGGGAGAAATAGAAAAGCTAACCACCATGGCGGTTTAGCCCAAATAGTATGGTTGTGGCCCAAATTAAATTCCTTGCGGATTAATTGTTATGGAAAACATGACGAAGTCTAGTGTAAGGTGGCACCCTATTAAAATTGGGCCAAGTGGATGGCAGACCCCAAAAATGATAACGATCGAGACTCATCATCAGCTTATATGATGTTTTAACAACTTCAATCATCAAGAAAGTGAGAAATTCAATCATAGCAGTATCCAATTAGAGAAAAATTGAAAACGAAAAAGAAAAAAAAAATCACAAGTTGGTAATATCCTAGTATAAACAATANTTAATTAAAAAAAAAAAGTAAAATGAAAAGGCAATCACACGTGCTTTGAGAAGGAAATGTTTTTTTTTGTCATCAATAAAGATGAAAATGTAATTGCTCAAAAACGACTAGAGGATATAACGTGTAAGTGAAGAATACATTCAGTCTAGTGAGGAAATGTGTGTCAATGATTGGTATTCAATGGTTAATTTCACTATGTTAGAGCAAAAACTGAAAAATGTAACTACAATAGCCCATAACATTCATATGCCAAAACATCCAAACATTCTCAATAACAGCATATGCAAACAGCAAAACATTTAAATCAAAGGCACAAATTCTAAAAGCATATAAATTTTGGTTTATAAGGACACTGACCTGATAGTAGGGGCAGAATCACATTGCACCAACTTATGATGCATGATTCAAGAAGATTCTACTTCTCAGTTTGAAGTTGACCCAGTTCGGAAGTGCACCGGAAGTGCGCCGCTCAAGCAAGGACCTGAGATTCATGTGCTGAACAAACAAACACATATAAGATAGGCAACCAAAATAACCTTTCTAGCACGGTCAATTAATTAACATTCTCGGTCATTTCCCTGGCCATGGATTCTAAATAAAATTACATTGATCAGCCTAAATTGCACCAGCCAACAAATAGTAAACCCCAATTACACCCCTCCCACATGACAAGATGATCAAAAACACTATTTTGAATCTAAGACCTCAATCAGATTCAGAAGCATATCACACACAGCAGATGAAATTTCTTTGAGGCACTACAAAATACAGTACATGAGAACACTACACACGGCATATCACATCATAGACGATTGAGACATTAAACAGTAAAAACAAAGAACCTTCTGGAAATAAAAGAAAATTTAAAGAATAAAGCTAATGAGGATTCCACTCTAATGTATATCATAAATATTATATAAAAACCAATGCATCTTAAAGATCAAACAAGTTCGTACAAATAGCAACAAGAATGACATAGCCAGTAAAAGAATCTTCAAATGCAAACTTATTTGGACATTGCTAAGTACATTCGAGACAGTGACCAGGAATTAGAAACACCAATTTCTGTATCTCATCTCAACAAATTCCTATAAAACGTTTTATTACAAATGTAAGAGAAGTAAAAGAAAAAAGGATGTTACCCTGATAATCTCATAATTGTTCCATCCAACTTCTGATGAGAGTTTGCTCAACAGGCAATATTGCCCAACCTGAAGCCTCAGCACCTTCAACCGTGCAAGAGCAGCTTCTCCGCCCTTAGTCTTTTGTGAGGGATCATTCTAACAAATATATATAATATGTTAAGCAGGTATAGGAAGTTTCACCACTTCAATTACTAGAAGAAATGAATCAGCAAATGAACACTAATTAAAAGGCCTCTATTAATAACTCTTAGTTTAATCTCTACTAGTTCAGCCTTAAGTGAAAAAGAGAACATAAAAGAATTTTAATCATCACAAAGCAAAAACTGAGATGCAAACCTCAGAAGTTTAGTTTCATAATCAAAACAAAGTAAGGCTGTGTATGCTTATACTTGTGTGATTTTGCGTGTTCAGAACCAACGACCAATTACATAAGCCAAAAAAATACATGGGATCATCATCCATTTCATTCCAGTAAAGAAATAAACAAAAACAAAAAAGAGGAATGAAATCATACCCACGAATAGTTCTCCACAAGATCTTTGAAGGGTTACGGAAGTGAATGGGGCCATGAGAAGGCTTGTTATTCATTCACTAGAAGGAACCTCAAGTACTTCATCTTCTAGCGCAACAGACCACCGGAAAGGCAGTTTATTGCAACCTTCTGGCCGTTCAACAGCTATTTAGCCAAAATGGAAGCCAAGCGGCCAAGCCTGTGGTGCATCGCATCCACAAACACTCTTTCAGCGCAGATCCATGAACCGGAGACCATCTCTCCTCTCTTGCACTTCCTCTCCTCTCAACTGGAAGAGGATCTCTCATCTCTCGCACTTTCTCTCAACTCTGAAAGAGGCGGAAGAATATAGTGTAGAAACTAGGGTTTTTTCAAGTTCTCTCACTTCTGAAAGAGGCGGATTCGCAACCTCTAGATAAAAAAATAAAAAAAAAAAGTAGAGAGAAATTCCTACAAGTCGGCTTTGAATTCTGAAATGCATTTGGGAGTTTTTAGAGAGAAAAAGGAAAGGCCTCCAACAAAATTATGACTGCCCTTGAGTTTTGACACATGAAAAAAGCAACTGATAAATAGAGAGCTTCGAATAAATCTTGAAAATACTGTGAAGATCGACCGCTCATATTCGACTGATCGAACGGATACAAACACGTGAAGATGTTGCAGGTCCGGATTGATGACGTGGCTTGGAATTTGAATTGTGTTATTTAATTTAAATTATTTGGGCCGAATATATATTTCTTGGTCCAATTGGAATTAATGACATCCTCTATCTATATATTTAAATATTTATATATATATATAATAAAAATTACTATTTATCATAAATAGTAGCAAAAAAAACCCGCCAATATTAATTGCAATCTATTAATATATATATAATAAGAATTACTATTTACCATAAATAGTAGCAAAAAAAACCCGCCAATATTAATTGCAATCTATTAAATGTAATTATTTATAGATTTTTTATATGCAAGTAGTAAATATTCAAAAATTGAAAACTGTAATTTAAATCATATAAACAAATACAACCTGTATATTACGTACATTCAAAATTTAAGTTTCTAAACCTAAGGGATTTGGTTTCTTATCTATAGAGAAATTATATGGATAAAATCTTCAACAAATCATTTGAATATGTTATCTTTAGAAAAAAAAAATATTTTATGCAATGCTTATCATCACTTAGTCGCCCTGCTTATAAATATCCATTATGCAATGCTTATCATCACCAAAAACCAATTATATACATTGTCAATGCGAGTTACAAAAAAACAAAAAAACAGCACAAAGCTTTCGCTTCACATCAATATATTTTCAACCATAATGCGGCTTACCAGGATTCTCGGTAACAATAAATTTGTTAAAACTAATATAATATAACATTATCACTATCATAATGTTTGAATATAGTACTAAAAAATTTCCAAGATTTACATCAAATGAAACTAAAAAAATTAAAATACTATATGACATATATCTTTTTTTTTTAAGAAGAAGAGGGTTTTGGAAACAAATGAAAATTAAAATATTAATATATTTGAAATTTTAGATTGTTATAACCAATTTTCAAAATGAATTTTCTCACAAAACTCAGTTTCTTTTATTTCCAAATTAGTAAGCAAAATATTCTGAAATCATTTTGAGGAAAAAACAAAAAGATTTCATTGATACATAAACTAATTCCATGCTCTACAGATATTGTGAACAACATTTCAACTATTATCCTTAAAAAATAAATTTATAGCAAGAAATAAATTTCCGCAAAAAAATCAAATACATACTACAAATAGTAATAGAAAAAACCAACATTAAATGTAGTATTCAATTTTAAATTTAAATTGATAAGTTTATGCATACTTTTTTTAAAAAAAGTTTGTTGTGATGTTTGCGTAATTATCGATTTCATCTCAATATTTATTTTGTATGTATTATGTATCTACTATATAAATTTTTTCTTATAACATTCAAGGTGAGGTAAACCCACATTTTTAATTTATTTATTATTTAATATTATTTACCGTGCATCGCACGGACTACGCACTAATTTATTAAAAAAAAGAGGGACCTATAATTGATGTGGTGTATTTATTTACAACATAAATTACTTTCTTTTTTTCGCAAAATACAGGAATCTCCTACAACTCATAGCACGTTACTGTCGGTACGCCAGCTAAGCAAATTACGTCGATTAAATGGGTCCCACGTGATTACCTGCCAAATTACGTGGGCCCCACGAGTTGCATGTCTGCCACGTGTGAGCCAATTCCAATCTTATTAAGTGGCCTTCCTCATTTCCTAGCAGTCGTTCTTTTTTCCTCGTTGCGGCTATTTTTTTAAATTTAAAACAAAAGAAAAAAAAAAATTGTTTTTCACACACACACACTACAGAAAAGCGTTATTGTTAGGATAGGGGAAAAACAAGAAAAAACCAAAAGGAAGAAGGAAAAAAGAAAAAGTAAAAGCAATTTGTAGCAGTGTACTACGGTTATTGTGATTAAATCTTTTTGCTGTGATTGGATAGCCTTCAGATCGATTTTGCACTGCTTAACCTGATTCCTCAGGTGAGTTTCTGCTGTTTCTAATTTGGATTGATTATATTTTGTTGATGAGGGTTTAAGGTCTGATTTTTCAAATTGAATTGACAGCTAATTGCTTGCGAATTCATCTTTTATTATTGAAATTACAAACAAACGACACAGGTATTTTAAAATTAAATTCAAAATATTGGAATTTAGTTGATTATATCCTAATTATATGTGTGATAAAAGCAACAGAACTGAACTGTTATTGAGTGGATAAATACGACAATCTTGGAAAGAGTTGGTTTCTGTATGAGCCTCTTGTATGTATTTTAGATTATTTGGTTTTGAATGAGACTCGGGCAGTGCAGAAAAGGGACCTAATTCTTTGTATATGCAGTGGAAAAGTGTAATGATGCCCAACTAAAGTATAGGGTTTGTTTGAATTTAGTTGCTTATTCAGTTGTGATTTAGTGAGTTTATGAGGAGTGGCCTCCCTGAATTAGTGAATTTGCCGTGTTCTTGTTCCCGACTCTTTGAATTTCATTATGCCACTTTCAGCCAAATTCAAATGTGGATTTATGAGTCATCGTATTCGTTAGTTTTGTTATGGTATTACTAATAGCTTCGTTGTTTTAACTGATAATTGTTCCAAATGAAAGCCTTCTCTTCTCCTTCACATTAGGTTTAACATTTTAACTGCTAAAATTGTTAAGGGTTAGTCGTGTTGCAACTGAAGAATTACTACATATTGCTGGCTGATGATTATATCAGGATTTCACCAAAACTATCCAGCTTTCCCTTTAACCTGACTGAAGACATGCAATGTGGCGGGTAATATTTTCGTTCTCTTTTAAGCTGTGCAGTCGGTTAAGAGTACTACTATCTACCTCTTTCATGCAACTTTTAATCAATCATATAACTCTACTCTGTTTCAAATGACAATCATGATGTACGCATAATAAATCCCTTTATTCTCCAATTCACGTAGTTCCTTTTTTCTGGAATACTCCGAAGGTAGTAATCTAAATCGGGATATCACCATCCGTCATGGAAAACGAGGCTAGGTACAACTTTCTGTCCCACAACATT